GAAAAATAGGATGCTGCTGTTAACATCCATGGCTTGCTTTTACAATATTGGGCCAATATAGTGTGGTTTTTATTACCATATTCAGTTCCTTCCCCATTTCATCAGTTAACAGAAACAGAAGTCCTATTATAAGCTGCTAAACAGTGAAAATTTAAAAACTGTTAAGACCTCAGTTTACAAGAAGGTCTGTATAAAAATGTATTTTTCTCATGGCAGTCTTCAGTTTGGCACCAATACAAGCACAAGGAGTTAAGTCTGACAGATGCAACTTTTGGATACTTAATGCATGATCCAAAATAAGTCATGCAGAACACAGAAATATATTCTGTGTTTTTAAACAGCCATTATATATGAATTATGTGTAATGAATACAAAGGAAGTAATTTTAACTTCTTGCGTCGTATCCAGGGATGGCAGTTCTCAGATTTAAGAAATGTGACTGTAGGGAGGTCTGAAGTGCAAGCCACTTTTCAAATCAGCTTTGGCGAACAGTGAAAGCTTTTAATAGTTTTGTCAAAAGCATTACATTTCTGTTTGGGGTTCACCTGACACCTCTTTCCCATTGACTTTCGACACCCAAGAAGTATGTTTTCAACAAGGTAGACCCGTCCATAAGTGAACTGCTACCTAAGCTTTAACTCCCAAAGGTCAGTCAACAGTCTCTTGTGAAGAAATATTCTGACTTGTAGTTTTGAAATGCTGCGTAAAGCAAATCAATTCCATTTATTTAAGGAATTCCTGCAAGTGATAACTGGCTCTGTAATGTCATGTGAAATTTCCACAGTGTTAATTTGTTTTTTGAAATGTTATGACTTTTTTTGTTTCACAAAAATTTTCAATTTGGTAATGTTTGAGTGCCAAGAAATGAACTTGATTTGTAATCCTTAATGCAAGTCTTTAAAAATCCGTGCTGTAACAATCCTGTTATTAAATAAACAGATAATACACAAAATTAACTATCCCAGAAATGAAGTTTTGAACTGACTTGTAGTTCAGGTGGCAGGACTTACATGCTTACAAATTAATAGTATAGCTACCTATATTTGTACAGCCTTATGTATGTTTGCACTTGCCCTCATGCAGTTCTGCGTTGTTAGTTCTTGTATGGTTGCATAAGTAATAGTGTAGACAGCCTGGTAGTGGCTATTAATGGTTTTTAAACAATCTGTTGTCTGGAACTGAACTAAAATACTTAAATGATACTGTTACTGCCACCATTAAAAGAAATTATGGGGAAACTATGGAAAAAAGCCTAATGAAGGCAGCAACTGAAAAATTCCCAGATTAGCCTGATGGTTTACTAATGTCTTCTAATTCACCTTATTTAATTTAAACTAAAAATACTTTTGTCATCAATGCACAAATTTCAGTGAACTTAAAATAACTTGCTATCCAGTGAAACACGCAATCCTGGGGCAGAATAACCACTGTAGCTAAGTTTAGATTAGTAAATATTTGACATTAATTCCTGACCTGTGTGGTACTACTGTAAATAAAACATAGTATCCCTATGTGAACAGTTTGTCAGTAAATTACTTGGTTTTTTTAGGAGTCAGTTTCAAATTTCACTGAGTGGAATAGATGGGCAAGGGGAGGGGGTGTCTCTGTGCTTCAAACTATATTCTGAAATAACAAACTTATGTAAAACTTGCCTTTACTCTGTGCTTTATGGAGGATTGACTTTGAAAGATGCCAGATTGGAGACTGCGCACTCAGGTCCCTGCTTTAGGGAATACAGCAGGGGAAACAACTTCCCAGTCTGTTGTGCCCCCGTTGGTAAATTGAATTGAATTATCTTGAGTATTTTTTTCCCCGCAGTTAAATTATTTAGGGATGAGGGTGATTGCGAGCTAGTGTTTTCTGTAGATACTGAAGAGCTCAAATGCATCTGTTTTTCACTTGTTAGCAGTTAAACTCTTGTGCTTTGAGGTGAGAGCTAGGTGATTGATAGTTCAAAGTTTAAGAGAAAAACAGAGTAGACCACCTGAATATGGTTTTATCCTCAGTGACTCTGTTGAAACTAGTGAAGGTGTTTTCATGCTTCGGTAGCTCGCTTTTAGTTTACTTGCTGCACACCGTTTCACCCTTTACTTCTTCATTGCTAGCTGCCACAATAACATTAAATTCAAGTCTTCCAGTGTTTGCTGTCCCCAGATGCTGTACAAATGTATTTTGTTGGTTTGTGCTTTTGTTTTTTTTTTCTATCTGGTCCAAATAATTACATTTCTTCTTGCACTTCCAAATCACACATTTTTAGACATGTTAAGTACTTTAATATTAGTTACTACTTGTTTACCTTTGAACAAGTTGTGTCTCTGATTACCTGAATGTACTTGTTTTGGGGTTTATGAGAAACAAGACCAGGCTAAGAAAGGATACTCGATATTTTGGTCATCCTTGATTCTCAGCCCAAGTGTTCAAGTGCTTAGTTGTGATAACCCTGTACAGTCATGAAAAGTAGTGGTTGTGTCCAGCTGTTTCTTTGGGAAGAGTCTGGATTGCTAGGAGTTGGTCAAAAGGAAGCACCAATTAAATTTCTTGGAGTTTATGGATCATATTAAAAACCTTGTATGCAAAGAATTTAATTCCCTTTTTTATTTTGTATTTGTAAAAATTAAATAAAATCCTTTTAATACTTGATCAAAGTGGGCACTAAAGCTTTTTTGTATAAAAAGCTGAAATTTGTGGATATATGTGTATCTGCACCATTGGGAGATGAAGGATAAAAGGCAGGAGAGAAATCAGACATGAAACATGACTTACTCTACTCCTAGGAGTTTACTTCCTGCAACCAGAAAGTAACTGTCTAATCTCATGTGTTTCTCTAGAGGCTAACATGGCTGTGTACTGGCATACTTTGTTCCCAGGTGCGTGTTTCTGTATTACTTTAATGCTTCTGCCACTTAAGGAACAAGGCAGCTATATTAAATAGATGAACTTAGCTTTCCTTTCCCTTCTTCTACCCTTTTCAAGTCAAAAGTTGTGATTTTTCCTCCATATGCTTTCTGTAGGATAGCACTGATCATTTCTGCAGCAAAGTAACGAGCAACACAAAACTGGTCCTGAGAGCTAACGGGCTGTGTAGAGCTTTTTTCTAAGGTAGGAATGATTCAACTATTTTTATTTTTCTTTATACAACAGACATTAGGATAGAGAGATGTCATTATCAGGCAGGTAAGTGGGATCTAGAAGCTGAAATTAACACTAGTAACTCCAGGTGGTGAGCTACTGAAAGTACTACTGCAGTTTAATAATCTGAAGAAACTGTGATGTATAAGCAGCAAGCCACTCTAATTTATTACTACTGAAATCTTGATTGACAGTGAAAATAAAGCCAACATCAAGTAAAAAAAACCAACCCAAAAAGAAAAACAACCCACCCAACAGACACTCCCTACCCAACTATAGAATACCTGGATTCTTACAACTTACATTTCTTATAATTTCCTCATATTTCCTCATTCTTCTCATAGGCTGGGTGGTTTTAAACCAGCTGAAATACCATGAGTTATTCTAACACCATCAGAGATGGTGACAAGTTACCACATCCAGGTAGCTAAGATTAAGGCCTCTCCCCTCGTGGCTGCTGTGACTGCAAAACAGTATTGTCTAGGAGTTTGATGGATGAGGAAATTACTCTCCTTGGCCTAAGAGTGAGGATTACACTAAACCTTGAAAACAACACTGTAGCCAAGGCCCAAAGCTCTCGCCTCATGAATCAGACTGAGAATTTCAGATGTGTTTGTTTGCACTGGGGCAGGGAGGGTCCCTTAGCAAAAAAGGTCTGAGCCAGCTACATTACTGTATTCAAAGTCAATTAACCAGTAAGTCAAATACGGGCTTGTACTGTAAATAATCTTGGTAATCACATGGGTTTTGTTGTTGTTGAGGTGACCTGGCAATAAGTACTGTGGCGCCTCTATTGTGTTAGCAACCCAATCCCAAACCCCACCATGGGAAGGGAATTTAGCAAGGCAGTGTACTCCATGCTTATTTGATTCCAAGTCTGTAAGCAGCTGTAGTGGCTCGTAATAAAAAGTGGGTGCGGGCGTGGGGTTGTGTTTTGAAGCAATACTACCTTTAAATGTAGATAGTGCTGTTCTAACAAGTCTTGAAGTACAATCTCATGCTATCTTTACAAGAAAATGATGAAGCTATGATCACAAGTGGTGGCTAGGCCATAAGCAGTAGGATCACTTTCTGCTCGCTGATGAAGACGTGCTGCTTTTGCATGTTGCCCTATCTGAAGGGTCTGACTCATTTAATTGCAAAAGCATTACAGCTTCCCTCACAGTTCCTGGTCCGGATAGCCTTGTGCTGTTGTTCACCTATAACGCCTAGGCAGCTAAAATTAAAAAAGCTTTCACATACATGCTTCAGATCTTCTGGTATAACAGACTACCTTGCAACTGTAGAGCCCACAGAACTAGTGCCAGGATATCTTTGACAAAGATTCCAGGTAGCACAGATGCATCCTCGTAATTCAAAGAAGCAGAATGAGCGTCACCCACATTGAAAAGCTCTATACTCTCTTACATTTCAAGAAGTGAATTTGCTCTGTATTACCACATTAAGGCTGGAAAGCTTTCATGCAACATTCCCCACACATAACCAATAAGAAGCTTACATATTAGGGCTTAATCTTTCTGCTCATTTATTGTGAATCTTCTGCTACTTCCTTCAAAGCAAACCTGTTCAGAAAAAAAATGTTCATGGTTGGTTGGTTGTCCTTACCCACTTACACAGGTTTCTCGGTTAGGATGAAGTCAAACTAGACAGCAGCATGTATCTTCTGAAAGGAGTACTGGTTTTGAATATGGTTTTGCTCATCTCGCTGTGTGATCTTGTAGAGTACCTGGCTACTGTTGTCCTACAACACAGACGGTTGTTAAAGGAGGGGAAGAGCATCTTTATCTTCAGACTTTGAAATTAGTCTTTTCATGTTCTTGTGCATATCCTCTCTTTGAATATGGCAAAGTATCTAAATATCTCTTCAGTGGTATAACGTAGCTGCCTTTATTTGAACTCTGTTGGTGTATTTTGAAAATGGAACTATGGTATTAGCCAGTTTGTGAGCTGCATAGTAATACACAGAATAGAAACATCTTCAAGTACATCTTCAAGCAACAGAGTCGAAATGATCTGTCGTTTTAGGGAGATACTGTGTTGTCACAACTGCAGCCATTTTATAATGTAGTAATTTTTCTTCCCAATTCTAAGCAATGATACTCCATTCTTGAGAATATGCTGTCCGAGAATAAGAACAGTCTCAGGATCAGTTACGCGAATCCCATTTATTGAAACTCCACCATCTGTAATTTTCTGGTACCTTAAAAAAAAAAAAAAACCAACAAAAAACAATTGGTAATTGCAAGATGAAGCTATTTATTGCTGTTAAGTATTGAAAGTTCAGTTAACAGGTTTTTTGGTTGAATCCATAATGCAATAAATTTTAATCTTTCACTTTACTTTCAGTCCAGGTCAAGAATAACTGAAATTAACCTTAGCTGCTGCTACTCCCACTCTTTCTGAGAGGTATAATTTTTTTGGTTGGATCCATAATTGAATAAATTTTGATCTTCTTCCACTTTACTTTCAGTCTGAAACTGTTAACTGAAATTAACCTTAGCTGCTACTACTCCCACTCTTTCTGAGAGGTATAACGAAACAGGCTGTTGCCTTAAGCCGTCCCTTCATCAGGCGTAGATTTTACAGCTAAGGTACATGAGACTGCATTATCCTACACTTTTTACTTCAAAATGGAATTAGGCTGCCTGCTCCGCTCTTCTTTAATGCTGGTATGTAGACTGCTAGCCTGTTTCTACTTGATTTGGCTGTCCTGATCTCTTGCTTAACTTCCGAAAGCGTACCACTACAACCTGTTTAAATGAGGTATTACCGAAGAGCACCGGTGATAACATACCCACTAGGTCCATCTGGAATGGCATTTGCTTTGCGACACAAGTCAAGAACGTTCATTCCAGGTTCAAGCATCAATTCAGCTGAAGGAGCTTGTCTAAAAAGTTCCTGCAACTCTTGGTCAGACATAGCTTCCAATGCCTCCACGCTGCTGTAATAAAGGGCCTTAGTGCACCTGTGAGAACAAAGATCATTCAAAAATCCAGCACTAGCCTCATCTTCACACAACGCGCTACTCGGATTCCCCTCCCCAATTTCTTCCGAGGGTCCACTCAGTAACAGAAGTACTTAAAGTAGCCTCCAATTTTTCTTCTGTTGTAACATGCTACACTGCTTTTTTTTAATATTGTTAATGTATTTTTAAGTCTACAGAATTACTACATTTTTCTCTTTTAACAGCTGAGCAACAACTAAGCAACTACGTGAAAATAGTCCCTGAAAAGCTATGGATAATTACCATTGAATAAATCTGAAAGAAAACTGCTTGACAAATCAAACTTCACCTCTTAGCAGATTCTAGCCCCTCTCTACCATGAACAAGCTTGGTTACTTCTGCAGCAAGTCGTTTCTGAGGGCCCCATTTTTCAGGTTCTTTAGCATGCATTTCCATGATGTGGTCAATCTCCTCAAGAGGAAGGAAGGTGAAGAGTTTCAGGTATCTACAAGCAGGGAAAAAAATATTTTGTCCATATACTCATCATTACAGATTTCCTGCCTTTGTCATTCAAACTTCATTAACTAGACTAAAATGATTCTTAGTCAATTTAAGAAACCCGTATTACAGATATTCTGTCCTTTTAAACAACTCTTTGTTTTTGCTCACATGCTTCAGCTTACCGGCATAACTCATGTTTTATTTAATATTCTGCCTCAGGCAATGTCTTCAGACATAAGATGGTGTCAGATGCTTTTTTGAAGCTTGTGTTACAATCAACAACTTGCTTTCCTCTTGAAAGGTTTACAGGATTTATTGCGATTGCGTGTCTAACCTAACAAGGCATCCTACTATGTTCTCAGTAGTTGCACAATACGCTGATGCAAAATACCACTGGCAGTCTGTGGTGATCATGGGACAGAAGTATGCTATGTAT